AGAACAAAATTTCCACACGTTGAACCGTGACGAGGGAACTTTTGAACATTTCTTCCTTCTCCATTGAGAACTAAAGAACTCCGTGTGTCGGACCTGAATAAGAATCTTCTTATATAGTTAGGTAGTTCTGAAAGGAGAAAGATCGATGGAAGATCAACAGTAATCCTTTCTGAAAGTTTCGAAAATATTGGCATGCGTCGTCAAAATGTTCTCACCAGTCGCGTTTCCGCGCCACTCCGCTTCACAATGCCCGTGAAATCGGCGCAACGTCTCTATTCTGGCTCATTAAATCGCATCTGGCCGGTTACTCCTTTAACGGAGCCGTTTTTCCGGAAACAATGTTGTGACGAGGGCCGTCGAAAAAAGGGTTAAAGAGGCAGGAGGGGAGGGGTGGGATTGCCCGTTGGGATTTTTTTTTTTTGTCGGTATTTAGGCCCTCTCGAAAGAGAAAAAAGGAAGGAAAAGGTTCAATGGACCCTTCGCGAATGCCACGTCGTAGAACGAACTATACTACGCAGCGGGCACTTGACGCATTATCCAAACACGCGATTTTGTAGGTTACGTTAAACCCTCGCCTCTTCCTTTGTAGAAATGTGTTCCTCGAATTATAATTTCTATCGTTAACAAAGAAATTTATTCGATTAATATTTCTCTGATCCTTTGATTGTCCATTAAAATTATCAGTCGTTGAATGAGGAGCATGTAACAAATTAAGAATGGATTCTTTCAATAAGTATATTCATTCAGTACATTGCAATGTGTTGTTCTGTTTGAAGCTTTGATAAATCTCAAATTTATTCGTTCATAAGATAAGAAACTAACTAAACTTTGTCAGAAAAGAATTTACCGGAGACATGTTGTAATATTTAAATCATAGACGATTTATTTTATGTTACATTGTAATTATAACCGAATTATATTGCAGTATGTATAAATCTATTTAGAAGTTGGCAAATGAATTAAAAAGAAAACGGGAATTTAATCGGTAATGATAATAGAATTTATTTCATAATGTTCGAAGTGTTTCGAGATACGATTTCTAATAATGGATTAAAAACAGAAATGATTTAATCAATCAAATCGTAATAAAATTTCGTTTCATAATATTCAAATTTCATAAGGAAATTATTTATTATCACGGCATCACGTAGAAGGTTATTATATTAGCGAAAACATTTCCAGACGCACTGGCGGAGATCGTGCTCGGATTTTCGGCTCGCCAGATCACGGGACTACGTATAAAGGGTTATTCAGCGCGCGGATTAAATGATAAAAAAAGGAGGAGAGAACGAACGCGCGCTGACATACGGGGGCCTCCTTTTCAGGATTGGGCTTTTTGAAAATTTTAAACTCTCTCCCTGCCCCCGATCAGGGCCCCGGGGTTTTTCATCCGTAGTCGGGATCGACCTCTCTCCCCCTCCCGTGCGAGTTTCAAGAACTACGAATAAAAGGGTTTCAGCCTTTGAAAGCTGCTGGATATATCCCGTGCAAAGGGGTAGGAAAAGAGGGGGATCACACCGGCTGCGGTGTGTGTCGTCCCGTGGATTTCTCGTATTTTTTAAGATTTGCCCCTTAAGTCCTGTCACGTTTCTCGTATTCTTCGCTCCGACTCACTGACGGTTTCACCTTTAACCTGGAACGTTTCTTTCTCTCAATCGCTTGGACGTTGATCTTCGACGTAACTTGGCTCGTTGATATTAATTTATCGAAAAGATTGAAAGATCTTGATGAAATATACGAGTTCAACGTAGACAGAACTTTTCGGACTTGAAAGATTGTTCATATATTTGGTGAATAAAAGGATCGAGATAATGGATACTTTCCCTTTGGATGGAAATTACCATAATTAATATGTTTTACTTATATTGTTACTTTCCTTCAACTTCAACACCTTGACAAATCACGAGGCTTTCGATGAAATTTACGATAGAATATACATCATCGTATCTTTTAACAAGATCCAAGGCCAGGTTCCGTTCGACGCCTAGCGGCCGTTTTGGCACGCTTCCTGCGACGCGGCTCGCATAATTAGGCGTCAACAAAATGTCTGACATTCCCGGATATGAGCGGAGAATCGGTAAGATTCTCTCGGTAGTCCAACTGCGATACTATCGATGCGTTTTATTCTTAATTAATACCTGCTCGATGCAAAGAGCCTTGACCCCCAATGCGTGTACGTGCGTGTACGTGTGCGTTTTGCCTGTTTCTCACACGTAACGAGCTGCTGCACACCGTGTGGATGTTGGTGGCTGTAAATTCGTGTGAATAGAAGAGTTTCCTCGACGGCTAGTCAGAAGGTGCTCTAACGAGCTACACAAAACACGCAGCTGCATTACATAATTACTGCACCGGAGGATAGATTAACAGTCATAACCGAATGTTACGCAACAATATGCATCAGCGTTCCCCGGTTCAGTTAAACTGGATAATTAATTTAAGCATCCAGAGCGAAAATGTAAATTTCGTAATTCGAGCACGTGCTGTCTTTAGCCCGTTGAAATTGAATATTCTCCGAACATAGGCTGCAGATTTTTGTGCGAATTCACATTCTTTTGAGAATGATGTAATCGCTGTAAGATAGAAAATTAGTAAAGAAGCAGAGTATAATTATATTTGTATGTATTATTCTTACATTGTGTATTATATATATTATTTTATAGTCTATTTTATTCTTATACATTTCTATATATATTCTTATATGATATTTACATTATATATCTTAATGTGTATAGTTTTGCACTTGAAAATTTCCTACTCATCATGCACGATTTTTGGAATTTTGATTTCGTAATTACAGTTTCACGTGTCTTCGGTTTAGTTTGTTATGATGATCACAAAAGGACAACGTGACTGTAGCTATTTATGCAAAATCATATTTTCACGAGTATGATTGAAAAAGAGAACTCGAGTGAAACTTTGCTTTACTTAATACACAAGCATTGTAACGAGTACCGCATTTCCAAAATTCTCATAAGTGCATCAAAGTCCACAATTGCAACAGGAGAATTACAATATGACGTGACTCGGAGTAAAAACAATCGTTTAGATCTAAGAGTGTCTTTTAAAGAAGTTACCCTAACATGATGAACCCGAGTTCAAAGAGAATTACAAAATGGATATCGTTAATCCTTTAATCAATGAGTCATTAACTCTGTGAAATAAAAAAAAAAACAATTTTTGCAACTATGATCAGTTCTTCTTCTCCCACAATCTTCACGCGAGAAATAACATCACGAACTTCAATTTCCTAATCATATACAATAGTTTCGCGTGCCCTTTTTCGAATCGTCAAAAAACGGGACTGACCCAGAAGCTTCGAGCATCGGAGAGAACATAATACGAAAGTAATAATGGCTCGCCTCTCCCTCGCAACCTTTACCATTTCGTCTCTTCTCTCGTTGCTCGTTTTTCTTTCGTTTCGCTGCCACACCGGGGAACCCTTTTCTTCTCTTTCGCGTTACACACGTGCGCATAAAACTTCGCTGGTGCCTATCCCCCACCAAAGGGCCCAAGAGGGGGAAACCCTAAGAGAAATATTCGACAATTTTTAAACTCGTTTCTGAACGCATTCAAACGTGCACAGTCGACAAGTAGGAATTTCTTGGAATCAACCAATGCCTTTTGGTAGGGCACGCCGAACGTGTACCGTGGTTTCCGGCTGCCGGAGGTGGAGCCTCGGCCATATATTCTCCCCGCAGTTATATATTTCGCGGCTATTCGCGAAATTCTTGGGAACAGCAAAGTGTTATTGTCACTTAAAGCGTATGAACGCGCGCTGCGAAGGCTTCAAACGAGTCGTGGCCAGACTGTAATAGAACCAAAGAATTTTAATGGAAATTGAAAAATGTGTTCGTAACATTGTATAATAAAAATAATGAAATTCAACATCCTCAATAATGATAGTTTACATTCATTCCTAGCTACGATTACCTCTGATATACAATTTACAATCGATTTGCATCTTTATATCGATGCTGTTTCTTCTTATTTTTATAATTAAAATTTAGTGAAATCTAACATGTCGTTTCTCTCTCGAAAGAGGGACCCATTCTAAATGAATCGAATGATCGGGATAAATCGAGCGCATTTACAAGCTGATAATTTAATGACTTGAAATTGTAGGAGTCGCGACGGAAACTTGTTTTTGTTTCACTTCGGTTCACATGATTTCAAAAGTCAGTGCTATAATTCATATGTACGCGTGTAACAGTATCATTACCAAAGATCTTTTAAAAGACGCGAATATATTACATTCTTAAACGTTTACACTCGATCGTTTTAATCAATCCGCTACTAATTGCTATTGACGTTTTGCGAAAGGCAAGTTTCATTTTTTCTGATGTCCATTAATTACTTCGTGTAATTACCCTTTAAATGCCTGTATCAATGATAATAATTTCTACTTCTTGCTAACTACCGCAGATAAAGTCGCTGGTTAATCAAGCGAATGTAGTCGAAGAGCTCATCGTGGATTGCAGAACGCTTCTTTATCTACCTTCTGAATTCTTCACTAACATCAGACGATACTGTACCGATCATCGAATAATTAAGGAGTTAACTTATCAACTCAAATTAAATTCTTTGTATTAATAAAAAAAAAAAAAATTAAAATATGTATATTTAATATTTTTATTCGTAAAATATTTTAAAATTGATAAAATGTTTTAGAATTTACACATTTTCTCTATCATACAAAATATCATATAAAATATTCATAGTCATACCAAATATACATCATCGTTTTTTTTTTTTTTTACATTTTATTGTGTTAGCGATTTTTATTTTATAGTGATAATTAAATTGCTCTTGTTCATTTAAATCTCAATAAAAAGTTAGAGAACAACGATAAAATGACAAGATATTTTCCACAAAATCTTCAATAATTAAAAACCCTTCTCATAAGCATTATTCTGTTCGCATTTAAAAGGAATTCGCTCTTACATACTAAAATTCTAGGGAAAGTTCTTAATTTCAAAAATTAATTTCTCAATCGTTAAAAGTCGAAGCGCGCAATCTTTTCAGAGAGAAAACCGCCCGAGAAAACGCAGTTTGCCGAATTCGATCCAATTAATCGTCAACCCACTAAAAATCCTCGCGCTCCAAGTGAGTAATCCTCCTCACCTCGTGCTTTCTGGTTTCTGATTTCAGCATTGTTGAGACAAAGCATGTCTCCGGTTGCGGACACGTTGATCGGTAGCTCGAAAAGCTCGATGTCGCAGCCGATAATCGATTACTCCCGATACGTGAGGCGGTACACATCGGGTCAAGAATGCGGTAGCTCGTATTGTAAGGAGCTCGGCTGCCGCGAGCATTTTCACTGTCTGGACTGCAGTGGTAGGGTGTTTGTGAAAAAGGAGGAAATGATCAGGCATTTCAAGTGGCACAAAAAGAGGGACGAATCTTTGCAGCACGGGTTCATGAGGTACTCGCCGACGGACGATTGCTCGGAGAGGCATCCGGGCCGTGCCTGCCCCCACAATCGTAAACAGACTCACTACCACTGTATCCACGAGAATTGCGATAAAGTTTACATATCGACGTCGGACGTGCAAATGCACGCCAACTATCATCGCAAGGACTCGGCTATCATACAGGAGGGTTTCCAGAGATTTCGAGCTACCGAGAGTTGTGCCACTGATCACTGTCCTTTCGTCGGACAACGGACCACGCACTTCCATTGTCGACGAGCTGGTTGCCGGTTCACCTTCAAGAACAAGGCTGACATGGGTAAAGAACTAACTCGCAGTTCTGTCTTACGATTATGGGCTTTGGAGTTATTTGACTTTTACACAGATAAATAGCTGTAACTATAAAATTTAAATAGAAATTTGTTTCATCGTCATCGTGTGCTTTCTGTAGTTTTTTTTCTTTTCCTTTGGAATTTCAATGATTATATTGATGAAATTTGAAAATGTACATATGTAGAAATTACACGACACGTCTGAAACGAAATGAGGCTTGGATATTGTACATTTCGTACAAATTACAGATAACAGAATTTGCAATATAGACAGCTTAACATAGATAGATGATCTTAAAGATTTGTATGAAATTGACGCTACAGGAATATTAGAAGGATATTCCAACGAGGGAAAATGAAAACTTCAACGTTCAAATTATCTAAAATAGATGAAATAAAATACGTTAATTACACATTACAACGAATTAAATTAATTTGTTGATCAAGTATTTTCTTATATATTATTTACGTAATAAAGAATTCTCTAACGAATTCTTCTCTTTGTCTTCTTCTTGCAGACAAGCACAAATCGTACCACATCAAAGACGAGCAGCTATCCCGCGACGGTTTCAAGAAGTTCATGAAATCCGAGGCGTGCCCGTTCGAGCAGTGCCGTTTCTCCCGCGTTTGCAATCACATCCACTGCATACGACCGCATTGCAGCTACGTTCTTCACTCATCCGGCCAGCTGTTCTCTCACAAACGAAAACACGAGCGTCACGAGACGGAGCTAGCCTACAGAAAGTACAAGCAGATCAACGCCGTCGGTGGTATCCGACCGCCAGGCTCCTGGCCACCTGATGATCTCAGCATCCAGAGCCTTTCCTTAAGTCTGAATGGCGAAAGCTCGAACGAGGACCGAGGCTCGCCATCGTACTACTCCCTGGACGATTCTTTTCAAAGTGGTAGCGATCTAGCGATGGATCTCACCGCGCCAACGACCACAGTCACCGCCAGTGGGAGTTCCACGGTAACCATAGAGCAGCAACATCAGCAACAGAGTCAACAGAGTCTCACTGCCACAGAACTAGCGTATCTGGTACCTGCTACGGCTGACTGTCCCTGTCACACAGGCAGGGAACATCATCACTGCGGGTTAGATCGTTGTGGAGCCGCTCTAAAGGATCCTCGCGAGGTCAGGGAGCATTTGAGGGAACACGAGACCCAAGAACGGATCACTGACGCGTTCTTCGAGGAAGGTGGCTGCGACGACGGTTGCCCGTACGCCGACAAGGAGAAACACTATCACTGTAACTGGGAGAACTGTCGCGAGGTGATCCTCTCCACCGACAAACCCTTCCGTCGCCTCCAACATTACAAGATCCACGAGTATAGTCGACAGTTGAATCTCTCTTGCTCCTCTCACGCTCTGTCCTCCGACGTGACGTTAACGCACTTGACCAACATCGACGCGATGTTCAGGCGGAAGAGAGGCAGGCCTCCAAAGAACAGAGTGATTGAGATCTGGTCGGGTGGCGATCCAGCTACCCACACTCACGACTCCCCGCAAGCGATCTTCACTAGTTTCAAGCTACCTAAACCTCAGACGCCTAGTCTGACACCTAATCCTATGACCGATGAGAGAGAGGGCAGTGTCTCGCCTTCGAACAGCCTTGGCGAACCGGAAGGTTTCTCCACGTACAATTCAGATGGGTGTCCAGATCTTGCTTGCGTCCTCAGGTCGACCAGACACCATCATTGTTCGCAGCTTAGGTGTCACTTCTCCACCGACAGGCCCGATCAATTGTTGATGCACAGCAAAGACTTTCACGATAACGTTGATATACCACCTGGTTTTGCATTCTTCGATAAGATGGTTGACTGCCGACTGGTTGGTTGTCACAGTAATCGCGTTAATCGGCATTTTCACTGTACCAGGCCGAACTGTGGTTACTCGTTCGTTAGATACTCGACGATGGCGATGCACGAGAAACAGCACAGCAGCAGTCACGACGAACAGCCTGAATGTTCGTCGAATCAGGAGTGCCAGACGCAGATTCAGCCTATGATGCAGGAAACGAAGCCTAGGATTCAAGTGAAGAATCCGGCCGAGCTAATCGAGAAGCCCGAGGAGAGTTTGACAAGTGAGATGGAGAACAGATCGATGATCGACGAGAAGGAATCGGAGATTCTCAGCCCGGATGTTAACAAGACCACCGGTAAGTGTGATTTTCAACGTGGACACGGACCAGTGCACCTGTATAGTATTGTTTTATAGATGAGTTCTTGTTTTGGTAGTTAAACTGAGACGTTTAAAGAGACAATTGTCCAATCGATGCATGTTTTCTGCACGTACACGCACCACTTCAGTATATATTACACATAGACACGACAGCACATCTTGATCCTTTCGATGCTAATGTGAGTTATTTTCGCGGGTTTTTATGCGTATTCGTGTTTTTCTTTTTTTTTTTAATATTATTTAAAAAAAGATAGAAGTCAGCCAAGAAATTGATTTGTACAATTGATTTGTACATTTGAATGTTTTCAAAATTTGCATGTTCCTTCAAATTTTCCATAAACGCATAAAAATCTGTGATAAAATCTCGTAATAAAAATGACCCTCGTCAAATTTTTCAATTTTGTAGATAATCGTAGCAGGAGTTAGAGTTCATAAACGTGATGAAAATAAAAGTAATTTAGCCTTGGACATTTTCCGAAATATATTGAAATATTTGACGTTATCTATATTGTGTATTACATAGAAATTATTTCGAATTAAAATTAAATATTTTAAATTGAACAAAAAAGTACAAAGAATAATTTTTATAATAATCTTTAACTGAAAATAATCAATTTCATAAAACAACTTTATGATTTAATTAAATATAATTACATTACAGAAATGTAACAGAAATTGAAGATCCAAGGGTCGTTTTTTTAAAAATAAATCCCCCGATCGTCAATTCATTTATTTATCCCGACAC